AGTGTGAAAGTATCTGGAGGCACCGAACAGGTGAGGATAACACCAAATTACATGGGTCCAGTACCAAAATACATGGGACAATATCTATTTTTATTTTATATTTTATTTTCAAATAAGGGAAAATTAGTCATTTTAGTACTGTCATTTAAGGGCAAAAATGGAATTTTGCATGTCATCTTATCCGATTCTGAACCAATGTGGTGTCCAATGGCTCCCATCTCAGGTTATGTTTAGTTCGCGAAATGAAAAATTTTGGACGTCACATCGGATGTTTCGGAGATGTCGGAAGGAGTTTTTGGATAATAATAAAAAAACTAATTACATAGCTCGTCTGAAAACTACGAGACAAATTTATTAAGCCTAATTAATCCATCATTAACGCATGTTAGGTACTGTAGCACTTATGGCTAATCATGGACTAATTAGTCTTAAAACATTTGTCTCACGATTTCCAACCAAACTGTGCAATTAGATTTTTTTTGTCTATATTTAATACTCCATGTATGTGCCGTAAGATTTAATGTGATAGTTTGAGATAAAAATTTTTGGAACAAACCAGGCCTCAGTCAGGGTGCATGCGCCCGGCCGGGCCGACGTTTCCAACGGCTTCTGGGATCGCCCATGCTCACGAGGTTGCAACTCCACGGGCTTGCGCTTGACGCCGCCAGCATCGGCTTCCATGCATATCGATCTGCAGGCTGCAGCGCTTGGTCCGTGAAGATGAGGCTTTCGGCGGTGGCGGCGACGTCCGAGTTCGCATCGGGGGGCCGGCAGTAGTGTAGACGATCGAGGCCTGGGCGGTGCACTAATGGCGACTTGGGCGAGCTGTACCGCGACGGCGAGGACGATGCGGAGCCGCGGAGGGGACCTGTATCCATCAAGCGTGAACTCGCAGATGCATCCTGGGATGCTGTCAGAGGCCATCGCCGCAGCCATGACCGAGAGACAAGCTGAGTGAGTTTATCAGTTGAACTGAACTGAATCATATATAACTACATAATTGCCATGTGTGTTCCCGTTAATTAGGACGTCGTGACGTCGTTTCTACATGTTTCTGTTTATTTTTCGCAATTTTGTTGTTGACGATGTGTCGATGTTGTTAGTTAGGCTTTCACGCGTAGTGGCGAATCTAGGATTTTATCTGCCACCGAAAATTTTTCATATCCAATTCGGAAAATCTATTTTAGCATTTCGGTAAAAATTATAAAATTTACAATGTGATTCGGTATACATGTACTAAGTAACACGATATGGTTGAAATTGAAGGATTAAGTTGATCGAAGATTTTATGATGTTAGTGCTTAGCAAATACTAATTAAAATAGACATGAATCTTTTTCGAAAAGCTAAATTGAATCTCACCTCAATTCCGAATTTCCAATCATCGTCACCGGCGGCGGTACGGTGCGGTCAGTCTGGCCGAGTGGCCGTCTGGAGCTCATAGGTGTAGGGCTAAGGCCGAACGGCGTCGGCACTCGGGACGGGAGACGTGGGGGTCGGCGCGTCCCGATGATTCACGATTGGACAAACCACTCACGCGATCGACGACGGGGACTCTACTTGCGCGATCGAAGCCGAGATGGGCCGCGTGGGCCTCCTTCTAACGCTGGCTCGCGGCCTGTCTCCCGAGTCCTGCCTGATGCTGCTTGCACGCTCGGTTCTCATGTATTCATAGGTGTTTTTTTCTTCTTTTTTTTCTAGAAATACGTATACATACATGGTAACTTCCCAGACCTGCATACCCGGCATACCCTGTAGCTCCGCACTGTTCACGTGCTTGCCCACACGACCTCAATTACTAAAATACCCTCTATTACCAAGCATTGACCCTTAACCAGCGGGCCCTCTCCACCTCCCGTACGTACGTCAGTGCTCTGCAATATAACGCTGTAAACTGAATAAGCGAGAAGAAGGCAAAGATACTTGTATTATTTCCATTGAGTCTCTTCCGTTTCATCCTTATTAACTTGATTTCCAAAGAAGAAGCAATTATCAGATCCGGGCAGAGCAATGTTGCACCATATGAGAGGGCAGATGTAGCTAAAACAAACACATATGGGTTATTTCTCTAGAGAAAAACCTGCATGCATGTACCTGAACTCCTGAAGTATCGAATAGCCAATGTTGCACCATGCAGGGCCTAGCACCATGATAAGTAGAAGTAGTCCATGTACGCCCATTAAATAACGGATCCAGCGGAGATTACAGGGAGCACACATGTCACGTGTGTGCTGGCTAGCAAGACAGAAACGTCACGATCGCGAAATCAAGCGAACCATACTGACATTTCTGTCCTTTTCGTATGAGTAAATTGCACTCGTATATATATATATATATGAATTCACGCGTGGGATTGCTAGCCTGGTACTTAACCTGAACTAGGACCAGCAATTATTTCAAGATTTTCTTTTCCAGAAAAGGTTATCGTCACTGTTCGAAAAACGGAAACGTTGTGTCGTTCGTCACGGCCCCGCGCTGAGATTTTGTATATAAGTGAGGGAGAGGGACCAATGAGGTCACAGTCCAAAAGATTTTGTGCAGAAATTGGGAGGGGACTAGACCAAATAAACAAGGTGTTGATCGGGGTCCATTTAATTAATTTGCAGAACAAAGCGAGCTACGTAGTTCATGGTAAGCCATATCGCAAGGCGTTTCAAATACGCAAAAAATTTGCACATTGTTGTAATTAAGGTGAAAGAGTTTGACCATACAAATAAGACGTTTCTATCGAGCACCCTAGGAAGTCTACAGAAATATAGCCGAAGTTCGGCTAGACCAACTGTTCTGGCACCTACGGAGACTCAAGTTTTGGTATTACATAAAAGATAGACAACCGAGAAATATTTCATTTCATCCGGTAGCTAGCTCTCTAGCTAATTTCTCGAAATTAAAGATGACTCCCTGAACTTGAAACGATTACATGGCCATTATATACGAACATCCTTGATCACAAAAACAACAAGAAGCTTCCAGGCTCCTCGTTCTCCAGGAAAGCTCCGTCGCAGTCGTTTTAGTTAATCTTCAGGAGATCCCGTGCATGCATGCCAGGAGCTGAGGCGGCGCACTGTGCACTTTGGCTTGTTCTTCAATTCTGCATGGGTGTTGTTGCTTGGTATTTGAACGAAGCTGAACGTCCATATCATTGACACTTTTGGCATGATGCAAGATTTCTCCAACTGGTCCTCCGCCCCCATTGTTCACCAGAATTTACTTAGGGGTGTTCGGCATGTTCGGCAGGGCTCTTCATGAGTGGCTCCTTTGGAGGAGTTGGAGGAGCCACAAAATAGCTCCGGCTCCTCTGTTTTTCATTGAACCGGAGGAGCCGAAGCCGGAGATGAGCCGTGCCAAGCAGGCCCTTATTAGTTTGTTTGTTTCTTTCTTTCATCCTACCGTACCACGCCCAAAGAAACCGTGGTCAAGATGTGGTGTACTCCTCCCGTCCCCAAAAGAATGCAATTCTGGAATAGTGTCACATTTTCGTATACCAAGTTTTGACCAATTATAGATAAATAAAAAAATATAAATATTTATAATATGAAATAAATATCATTAGATTAATTACAAAATGTATTTTCGTAATAAATTAATTTGAAGCCATAAATATGAATATTATTTACTAAAAATTTAGTCAAACATAAAATACTTTAACTGGCACACAACTCATAGCTGCATTCTTTTGGGGACAGATAGGTAGTGTATTCAAGTTTAAAGCAGTTGTTTTGGGACATCTTCCAAATTCATCGATCAGCTGCCAACATAAGCTAAGCAGTGGCCCCCATCCTCATGTAGCCACCAACACACGCACACCACACGAGGTATCTAATGCCCATGCATCCTCGTCTAGCAGATCAGGACGTTCCTGTCTTGCATGCATGACGTGTGCTTTTAATTTTTGTGGACCAGCGACGCAAGTTTCCTCTTCGATCGATCCGATACGGTTTCCTTTCCCCGTTGATGGTTTCCCGGCCGCTTTTAGCAGGTCCAACTTATCTCTTTCTAGGTTATATATAGTAGTATATCTTTTCTTCAATTCATCTACCGTGGTTTTGTAGAATAGGCTATATCTTTCATCTATTTAAGAGCATCTCCAAGAGTCTTTTCTAAATGTTAGGAATGAAGATTTTAATAAAAAACTGCCCTACAACAGTTTCTCTAAATAGTTATTCAAATATAGCCATTTTTCATTCCGGATTTTTCGCTAGCAAAAAATGGAAGACGAGAATGACTCTCTAGAGTATGCATGAGATACAGAAAAACTGTTAGAGTGAAAAATATAGAAAAACTGTTAGAGAGTGAGATTTAGAAAGTCTTTTGGAGATGCTTTAAGTTTCACCGCTAAAAGCGTCAGCTAATTTAGTTCTTTTTTCTTCTTGTATATGCCATTTTATTTTCTTCTTGCAAGTTGGATGACACAATGTCAAATAAAAAAAAACCGTAACTTACAACCCCACTAGTTTTACATACTGTTACAAAACAAACATTTAATTTTACACTGACAGGGCGTACATTCCTATGATGATGGAGTAGTGATGAACAACATTTTAAAGGAACTAATGACCGGGTGTAGATTCCTAGAACTTTCGACTTAGTTCGATTTACCTCTTCCGACGTGGCGCTACGTCAGCAAAAACCACCCTCAAAACTGATTAGGGTAAAAAATGAACATTTTTTAAAAGTTAGGCTACGGGGATGGCAGCTTCTTCCCGTGGGCCGTGGATTCACTGGTTCACTCGGTTTGGGCTGCCTCGCGGAAGAATGGACGTGGGGCCGGGCCACGTTTGGGCTACTGTCCCAATTTTTGTGCTTGGGCGATATAGGAACCGGGGACGGAATTTCTCAAAAAAAAAAAAAAAAAAAGGAACCGGCACGGGAATTATCAACCAAACTATCCCGTCCGTTTTCATCCTACTAGACATTAGCATTCGTCTACCAACAACTCCCGTTCCCAAACCCTCCGTCGACGCCTCCTCCTCTCTCTACACCGGCGATCGGCGGCGAGCGATGGGGTGGGCGACGCGGTTCCTGGCGGCGGTGTGCTTCTTCGCCGCGGGCGTCCTCTTCGTCCCCGAGGCTCTCCTCGGTTCCCCCCCTCCGGCGCTGGCGCCGTCACCACCGCCAAGCTGGCCCACGTCCTCTCCTTCGCCACCTCCTGGGGCGCCGCCCTCTGGGCCACCTTCATCGGCGGCATCATCATGTTCAAGTTAGCTCCCGGCTCTAAAAAAATCCCAGCTTTCTCCTCCCTCCTGTTTAATTTCCCCCAATCTAATCTAAGAACCAAAAATCCCGAGGGGAAAATCTGACCCCAAAAACTCCATCGATTCAATGAGCAGCTGAAGCGGTGCTTTGTTCGGTGCTTTGTTCTGTGCTGATGTTGAATCTTCTTGTTTGTAGGAACCTGCCGAGGCACATGTTCGGCAACTTGCAGAGCAAGATGTTCCCGGCCTACTTCACGCTTATCTCCGCCTGCGCAGCCATCTCCGTCGCCGCCTTCGCGTACCTCCACCCGTGGAAGACGGCGTCCACCGTGGAGCGCTACCAGCTTGGATTCCTCCTCTCGGCGCTCGGCTGCAATCTCTCCAACCTGCTAGTCTTCACCCCCATGACCATCGAGGTGAGCTGAATTCCTCTTCTTACGCTTTGGTCTCTTTCCATTGAGGAACGAATTTTATGAGAACCTAGGATTTGTCATGGCAGTTGTGGATTCATGGTTTGTAGACTTGGTATGACCATAGAAGTGTGGATCGGTTAGTTAATGCTCATCAGTAATTATTAGATGCAATTGTATGAAATCGAGTAATGCTTTAGAGATTAAAAGTGATTAGTGCTTGTGCTATAACTGTCAGGTGAATGCAATAATTTGTAGTTAATTTAACTAATAATGATGCTTTTTAGTTCGTTGCATCTAGTTGTGTTCCCTAATACTAGCAGCCAAGTCATGGAATATCGAGCTGTTGGCTGATTTTGTGGAAAGCTAATTTTGGATATTCTTGGTTCGAACAGGGCAGCATTTATGTTATTGCTTTTACTTCTGTGTAACCTCTTCAACAAAATAGGAGTCGCTGTGGAAAGCTATTTTTTCACTCAAATGACAAATGTACCTTGTGAAATCATTTGATGTTATTATTATCTGCAGCTTAAAACATATAGCTTCAACATAAATATGCCTTGTATAATATGGTTGCTATTGCTATGATTCACAATTGTTTACGAAAATGGTTTCTCAAGCATTGTGGTTTAATAGCTTTCATCATTAAAAGCCAAGGGTATTTCAATCCAGATGTACTTTATAATATTCTGGTGAAAATACCATTATAATTATTCCTCTTATCAATAAATATACTTCATAATTGATGCTACAGTCCAAGTTAAATGTTAAATGGCAGAGATTGGCATCACATTATCACAATGTCTCACACAATGCAGTGAGTGAATGTTATTAATTTGGTATAAGATAGCTTGCCAGAAATAGAACAAATGCTACAAGAATTCAGAATTTATGATGGCTATGATATGATTGCAGGAACGTATACGAGTTTCTGAATAAGTCACTGATCACTCCTTATCTTAACTTCTAGGAAATTGAGTAATGCTTTATCTGGTGTGCAATTTATTAGAGAATAGAAATAACAGTCACTGTTTCATCATTGACAGTTGAATGCAAAATCTGTATCTAGTCAATGGACTAATAATAGGTTGGTGTTGGTTTAGTTTAACTGCTCATGCAAATTTGATAGCTTTCTTATAAGTTCATACTAGTGACCTAGTTGCTGGAAGGTGATAAATGTGGTCATAGCGTTCTTTTTGTTTATGGGCTTCTCGGATCTTGAAAATGGTTCATGCTAATCTACTATAAAGCTGACATTGCCAGTCATGGTTTGGTTTGCACTTGTACGTATTACTCAATGCTCAGTGAGCAAATCAGGTATCAATTTATTGTTTTTGCTTTGTTTGTGTAGCTTAAAAAAAAACTGGAGTTATTGTGAAACCATTTTCTGAATGCAATTATATGGTTTTGATTGGTGCGCCACAGTCCATTTCCTTTCATGCAAATATGATTTTATGATATGATGCTTGTTGTTATGATACATTCCTGTTGTCTATAATGATTGCTCTGGTATTGTTGAATACTTTGATGGTGGTTCTATACCATTGACTTGTAGTTGTACAGATGGTTCTGCAATCTGCATTAGGTTTTTCACCACTCATAAAAGAATATATGTTAAGGTTGAGTTGGTGATAACCAAATGTTTTTCATTTAATAATTCATGATTAGAATTCAAGCTAAGCTCTATATGACCGAGTTTGACAGCACAATGTCTCACAAGACCCAAGTGAGTATTAGTTGGCATTAGCATTAGCATTAGCGTTACACAGCAGAGTTACTGCACCTATCATTGTTTTGGATAAAATGTTGTATTTTAAGTATCATGCAAGCAGTGGCAGAACTGGTGAAAATCAACGCCTAGGGCCACTAAGCGCCTAAGCAATTCATAATAGGCCCTATTGATAATTCACACAGGCAACAAATAAAATAATAACTTATTCCGGCAAGCCTATTTTATTTGCAAAGTCGCATTCAGGCAAGCCTATTTTGCCGCATCAAATAACTTGAGCAAATTGCAAAAATATCCTGTTCTAGCATACAGAAAGATGAATTTATTCAGATACCGCATTTTAGTACCACCTTAAACAGGCGTAGATCAATGAATAACAATAGGAACATTTAAAAAAAGGATTATCTTCCAATGATCAATGGAGCAATCACCGTCTACTAACGAGTAATCAAGAAAACTAGAATGGGTCATGCTTTAAAAAGGAGATTGGGAAAATTAGGAGCATGGAGTACCAGGCCTAAACACTAACATGCTTGCTTGCTTCTCCCATCCAGCCACACGAACGAGTCAACACCGATTGCCGGCCACCAGGACACCCAATTGCACGGCGCACGACACAGGGATTGGAGAAATTTAGTCGCCATCTGTTTGCCTAAAATCCAAGCATTGCACCAGCTCACCTCCAATCCAAGGATACGCCACTCTGAATTCCAGGAGGGCTGCACGCCGCTTCGCTGGAGCTGCAAGCCGTGCGGCTAGGGTTTGGACTTAGGCGAATGGACGAGCCGCAGAGCAAGGGGCAACAGGCAAGGGGGTGCGACGAGACTATGAGAGGGCAGAAACTGGGCCAGGCGAGCGCTGCGAGCCTGTGACGAATGATTGCGAGCGCGTTTACTGTCGCTGGGCCAACAGACTACGAATGATTGCGAGCGTGTTTTTCTGGAACGGATTGGGCCAGAAAAAATAAGAGCGGTATAAGGAGTTCCTTGGGCCACGCCTAGGGCCATGGCCCTAGGCCCAAATCCGCCCATGCTTGCAAGTGATTGTGGTGTTGTGTGAACCCTGTGTGGCCCATGACTAGTTGGAAGGCACAGGGTGCCCTGTACGCTCGTACTAGGAAAACTTGTTTCATATTATGTTCTTTTGCCTACTGAGGCTTGCCTAAACATGTTCATGTGACATTCCTCATTGAGGGTATGTCAATATGCCTTGGAAAAAGGCTTAGCTGTGGCCAATACAACATTGCTAGTGAGGGAGCATATGATTTATCCTTTTCGTCCAACAACAATTAGCTTTTTCTGATGCAATATATGTTATATATGATCAACTTGTGGTAGCGCGAGTGCATTGGGTTTTGTCACAACTATTTAAATTTGAAAACCAGAATTATGGTGTCAGTATATCAAAAATAAATAAATATACATGGTCGAAACTCTGTAATACTGCAATGAAAAAAACTATTATTTTTTTTCTTGAACATCTTGCTATTCGAACTAGAATTGAAGGTAAGCTTTAGATGATAGATTGACAGTACGGTCTTACTCGTCCCAGTGTGAATGCTAGTTGATATAGGATAATGCTATTGGATCAAATTTTATGTTATTTTACCGGTGTCTTACTCAACCTAGTGTGAATGCTAGTTGGTATAGTATGCTATTGGATCAAATTATGTTATTTTATGGAGCTTGCAAGTGATTGGGATGTTCTGTGAACCCAGTGTAGCCCATGTACAGTTTGGAGCACAGGGTGCCTTCTACCAGGAAAAAATCCTTTTTTTATATTTCTGTGAACTATGGCCAAACATGTTCACTTTCATCATGTAATGTCTTTAGGGGAAAAGTTTACCCAAATATTCTTTATATCTGTGGAAAGGCTTTAGATACAAAAATATTCGGCACATAATCAGGATGTTGCTGGCATGGCCAGTCCAACATTTTGTACGATGGGATCATACAACAGTTAGCTTTAATTTTCCCAATACAATGATTGTATACAATATGACAATTGCACAGCAGTTGTGTTTTATTTTCTATTGTCAACCAAAGTTCAAATGGAAAGTAAGAAAATAATTTGAGACCAACTAGAATATGCCCTCTCTTCTTCTACATCTTCTTTCATGCAATTTCCTTTGACATGGTTGATCACTGCTTGCAGATGATGAAGAAGAGGCACAAGATTGAGCGGGACCTGAGCATCGGCGAGGAAGTCGGATGGTCAAAGAATCAGCAGGTGGCTAAATCCAACCCCACCCTTGCTGCAATGAACAAGAAGTTTGGGATGATCCACGGGCTGTCATCACTGGCCAACATCATGTCGTTTGGCAGCTTGGCCATGCACTCCTGGTACCTGGCCAGCAAGCTAGAGCTGTGAAGGGGAGCCAAGACAACACCTTTCTCCGCCTTCTTGTAGTGAATCTTATCGCGATGGTGGTATTGGTGCACGTCATGTTATGAGATCTCTATACTAAATTGTACGATTGCGCTATTGGCTTCAAAGGAGAATAAATTGTAGTTAAAAAAATCTCAAAGAACTTTGTAGTTAAAAAAGAAATCCTATGTGTTGCATGCTGCTCTCAAACGAGTTATTCAAAATCGAAATAATTCAGCCACGGTGGTGGTATCTGTTGATCTTTCTTACGTGGAGGAGTGAGATTTGTCGGCAAGTGTATGGTCCTCTTTGGAAAAGATTTACAAAACATAGAAATAGGAAAAATGTAATTGTAAGGATACCTTTAACAAGTCAACTTGCTAGCTTATATGATTTTATAGTTTGGGAGGTGAAGTAGTTCGTCTTGATTAGTTGAGGGTTATATAGACTTTTTTCAAAAGAGATATATAGATAGAAATTTATTTATTTTGAGAACAGAGCTAGTATTGCTGGTAGACATACCGACGTGTGTTACCACCATTAATCACAGGCTCACCGTCCAAATTTCATGCTCAGTCACCAAGCACAGCATGTCTTCTTTCTTTTCTTTTCTTTTTTTTTTTTTTTTTTTATAAAAAGTGGCTTTCCCCATCACTGATAGTGTGGGAACTGGCAAGTAGCCAACGAGTGTCCGCCGTCCGCGGCTTCGCGCACACCACTACTATCCCCAAACCCCCGAATCCCTGAAATCCCAAATTGCCGTCTCGGGCGTCTCTGCTCCTCTCCCACAGTCGGCCGACCCCGCCCCGCGACGGCGTCGGCGGCACGCCGGAGCGCTAGAGCCCGCCGTCCTCTCCCACAGCCGGCCGACGGCGCGATGGCATCGACGTCAGCGCCACGGCGGTCCGCCAGAGCCCTCCGTCCTCCTCCATGTCTGGCCGACAGCGCGATGGCATCGACGTCGGCGCGACGCCGGACCGCCAGAGCCCGCCGTTCTCTCCCACAGCCGGCCGACCGCGCGGCGGCGTCGACGTCGGCGCGAGCGCGGCGGCGGTCCGCCAGAGGCCCGGCGGCGCAGCCCGTCCTCCCGGACGAGATCTGGGAGGAGATCTTCCTGCGCCTCGACGCCGCGGCCGACCTCGCCCGCGCCTCCGCCGCCTGCTCCTCCTTCCGCCGCATCGTCTCCGAGCCCCGGTTCCTCCGCCGCTTCCGGTCCCTCCGCTCCCCAGCAGTCCTCGGGTTCATCACTTCTAGCATATACCGACGATTCTTCCCCGTCGGGCCGCCCCACCGCTCCGCCCCGGAAGCCCGCGCGCTCGAGCAAGCCGCCGACTTCACCTTCTCCTTCGTCCCCGACCCCATCTCGTGGCGCTTTCTCCACGCCCGCGATGGCCGGGTCCTCCTCCCCCGTCACATCTCCATCAAAATCCGATTCGAGGATTTCGTAGTCTGCGACCCCCTGCATCGCCGGTACGTCATGATTCCCCGCATACCCGACGACCTAATGGCGGCCTCCACCCCAGACGCGCGGCATGTGTTCCCGTTCTGGCTCCAGCTGGCGAGAATGACGGGGAGGAATCGTTCAGAGTTATCTGCACTGTGCTTTTCAAAGACAAGGTCATGGCTTTCGTCTTCTCTTCCTGCAACCAGACGTGGCGAGGTATTATTACCACGATCTGTTTGCCTGATGGAGATATTGAATACATGACCGACCATGCGTACGGCTGCCTCTACTGGATGGTTGGTTTGATGGGCTATTCGCTAATGCTCGATACAAGTGAGATGAGATTCTCCATCATTGACCTCCCGCCCCACAATTTTGATTCAGAAAATATGCGTGCCATTGTCGAGGCAGCGGATGGCAGACTCGGGTTCTTAACTATTGGCGATGGCACAATTGACCTGTATTGCAAGAATTGGCAAAGCAACTGTGTTGGCGCACAAGAGTGGCTGCATGACAAGCTAATTCCATTGCCCAAGGACTTTGGGATCACCTATCATTGGGAGACTGAGGGCACAGCAGGACATTACTTAGCTCTAGTAGCTGAGTCGTCGCGAAAAATTGAACATTTTGTACTGGACATCAAGACATTGCTTGTTGAGAATCTCTGCACCTCGAAAAATGGCGCGTTCTTTGGTTTTCCTTATGCAAGATTTCCACCACCGTTGGCACTGCCAAGCATATGAAATGGTAAGAATTGTCTTCCATGTTTCTTCAGCTGTAGGGAACTAAATTGTATTGGTGGTTTGCTGTGGCGTCCTACTTGTTACCTAAGTGCACTTGCTGCTGGCATGTCCAAATTTTCTCGCATCCACCATTGTCACCATGGAGCCCTTGTAGACCATGTGGTCCTTTGGCCTTTTGGAATGATTTTTTCTATCATGATATGTTGCTTTGGAAGCTAACCAACGTACATAATGTAGCTAGGAAAATTCTGTAGCGTTTTGCGACAAACTAGTTGTTACAATCTATATCTTCGTATACATATGTCTTGCTCTAAAAAAAGTTGCCACTTTAGGACATTCGTGTATCCTGACATGAAAATTGTGTATCCCATGTCTATCAATCATTTTGAGAAGGAAAATATTTGACCCTACCCTCTCATATCAATAGTGAATCCAGGAAAAGGCTTAATTATATATTGCTCTATGTCCATCGATATATGCTTTTATTTGATCTACTTTCTATACAAGTTTAGTATTGAATTTGATATTAATAACATATATGGACATTGAATGTTTTGTAAAATCTGACTTATTATCAGTCCATTACAATTTGTTTATGTCATTAGTCATTTACTCATCTTGTTTTTTTTGGGTGTACTCTGTATACTATAGCTGGTGCCTAAATACTATGGGTCTATGACTGGCAAATTTGTCTAGTGCATGAATACTAGCGCAGTCAAATTTTCTCTGTTTTTCTTGGGAAAAATGCAGAGCTAAAATCAGTTGTATACATCCCTTTTGATAGTTTTCAAATTTGCATTGCCATACATAATGGATAGCTTGTTTCACATGCACTACCATATCGTGACGTCATGTTGGCCTAGCACGGCTAACAACTAACTTTGCCCAAATCCCTCTTGATTATTCTAACACTGTGTTCTTTGGTTGGTCTGCTATCTTGACTTTGAGGTGACAGAGCCGCATGGTTGGGAGCATCTGTATGAAGGCGTAGCCATGTCATGCAAGACATCTACAGCTACTAGCACTCTAGCAATGATGGGCATTCAATCTGTAGATGATCGTCTGTTATTAGTGGTAGTCTCCAGAGTCTTATTCCTCTTGTTGATGTTACCTGTTACAATTCTGAAAACAAAGAACAAACTGTTATAATTGACTTCTACCATTTGCTTCTTTTGCTTGTGAGAATCATGTGATTTGTCCTAATTTCCATCAATATTATCCTCCAAATCTGATGGTGGATCACAACTGATTTGTCATGGCAGTAGTGGATTCATGGTTTGTAGACTTGACGTCACCGCAGAAGTGCGGATCGGTTAGTAAATACTCATCGTTAATTATTAGCAGCAATTGTACACAGTCAAGTAACTATCAGCTGAATGCAATAACTTGTAGTTAATTGAACTAGTAATGATGCTTTTTGGTTCGCTGCATCTTGTTATGCTGATTGATTTCTTGTTCCCTAATACTAGCAGCCAAGTCATGGAATATCGTGGGGTTGGCTGATTTGTGATGTTCTATTAGAACTCTAATTTTGGATAGCCTTGGTTCGAACAAGACAGCCTTTATGTTATTGCTTTTATTTGTGTGTAACCTCTTCAACAAATTAGGAGTTGCAGTGGAAAGTTACTTGTGTTCACTCAAATGAAAAATATACCTTGTGTAATCATTTGATTTTATTTTCTTCAGCTTAAAACATACCATTTAACATAAATATGCCTTGTATAATATGGTTGCTACTGCTATGATTCACAATTGTTTACGAAAATCATTTCTCAAGCATTGTGGTTGAATAGCTTTCTTCATTAAAGGACAAGGGTATTTCAATCCAGATGTACCTTATAATATTCTGGTGAATTACAGTCCAAGTTAAGTGTTAAATGACACAGATTGGCATCACATTATCACAATGTCTCACATAACATAGTGAGTGAATGTTATTAATTTGGTAAGATAGCTTGCCAGAAATATTAAAATGGTACAATAATTCAGAATTTGTGATGGCTATGATATGATTGTAGGAGTGTATGTATACGAGTTACTGAATAAGTTGCTGATCACTTAACTTGTAGGAAATTGAGTAACGCTCTATCTGGTGTGCATTTATTAGAGAATAGAAATAACAGTCACTGTTTCATAATTGACAGTTGAATGCAGAATCTGTATGTAGTCAATGGACTAATAATAGGTTGGTTTAGTTTAAATGCTCATGTAAATTTGATAGCTTTCTTATAAGCTCATACTGACGACCTAGTTGCTGGAAGGTAATAATCTGGTCATAGGGTTCTTTTGTTTCTGGGCTTCTCGAGTCGTAGAATGTTTTTCATACTAATCTACTATGAAGCTGGCACTAGTCCATCACGCGCACCCTCACGCGCGTCGACAGTTGGTTGGAAATGCAATCGTAGATCTAAACGTGTCTATATTTTTTTTCAAGATCGAAGCATGGAATTAGGCAGTATAGAGAAGCTGAATGAAATCAAAATTGATCATATGGATATAGTAGTATGTACGTGGTCCCAAAAGGCATGGGAGGAGCAAGCATCATAGGAGGAATCTAAAAATCCCCAAAAATCCAATGGACGATGTGGTGCTTGGTGGTACTCTTTCAATTGAAGGAAAAATATGTGATCATAATTGAGAAGCTAAATATAATAGAAAAGTCCAGCATGCTAGTACAAGCACTTTGTCAATAAAGCTGAGGGTCGCTAAACCATAGTGCTGGAGGCAGGAAAAAAGGTCATGAAACAACAATAGTTAAAATCACTGTCCATTCGAACACATGAAGTTGTCAAATGTGCATGGAAAGGGATACAATGAACATAGAATTTATGGATGCGCAAAAATACAGGGGCAATGATGCTACAAATAGCGGACTGTATTTATCAAGGTAAACAAACACGATGCAGCGACATGGCAGAAAAGGATCCACTAAAGTAATATATAAGCAAAATAAGACGATAATCTTAGAAACCAATCTGAACAAATTCTCTATCTTCCAATAGTTACTAAGAGGAAATTCCATATTTACCTAAGAAGTTATCAGGTTGCAGTAGTTTAACCTCATAGCTCAAAAATTATAGCATACTCAGTCCCTGTCCTTAGGATTCAATTACAGTCTGCAATGAAACAAAAAAAAAAAAGAATTTGTAACAGGCATATAAGCTATGCACCTAGCTGCAAAGAAGAGAAGAATGATTAAGGAAAGAGCAGGAATCAGAACAACTAAAGAAAGAGCAAGAATCAGAATACCTTAATATTGAATCGTAGCAATTTTTGCATATAGCAGTGAAGCGCGGGAAACAAAATTGGATTGTTGTTAGGGAGAAGTAGGTCATCATTGCATATGGCAAAGTGCTTCAGTTCATTAAGAATGCAACATATGACCATGCATATGTAATGGTTCGTATCACTACATAGGCCAAACGCCTCAGTTTAAAAAAAAGTGGAATAGAAACATCATAAAACAGCAGCGGCCGCCCCCCTACCCCTACGGCACGGCGGCGCCGCGTCTCGAGAGATGGAGAGAGAAGAAGCGAATAATAGAGTTGGAGGGTAGAGAAGCAGCGGTGTGGATAGAGGACATAGAAGCACATGATATTTTTAGATGGCAGAGTGGAAAACGCCAGGGTGAAACAGAACCATGAGACTGGAAACAAGCGGCCAAAACTTTTCATAGTAACGTGGCCACCCTGAGCGCACGCCAACTGTAGCCGAAATGCAGGAAGCAATATATTGTCACTTGAGATCAGGAAAACCATCATAAAACAGTGATAATCATGACCGCATCTTCTCCTATGGTATAGTTGAGAAGAAGATATTTATTTGCAGCAACATTGTCATTGAATAAAAATAACACCTCCACTTAATTTCACAGAATGCTTTAGCGGCAGTACTGTGAATAATGTCATTAACCAAGATTAGCAGAATGTACCAAGACTTGTATGTCAAACCTGGAATTTAACATGAAAATAGTCTGGAAGAATGACGAAATGTCATGAAGGATCTGCAGCAAAAAGAAGATTAAGTATAAGAAATGGAATCCACAAACATACAAGACCTTGTCCTTGGGAGTGCGATCTTATATGAGAAGCTGGCGCTAAAAGCACAGGCTTTGGAAACACCTCTTATTGGTGGCGGCATATAATTAAAGGCACACAATAGGATCAGCCTAGGATTGAATTTAGACATGTGAAACTAACAGAGATCATTATCCATGTAAATAGGACAAGGTTCTATTTGAGGGCTGAGCAAAGATGCAGTTCTTACTGAACAGAAACAATGGAGACGCATTATCCATGTAAATCATGAAACTGATTTTGTAGGGAAGAAAACACGGGTTTCAACAATGTACAAGTTGCCCAATTGCTTTGCGGCCTAGTTCTTTGGGTAGCAGATGAACAGCTCAAGAAGTTCTACACACACGATTAGCACCAATGTGAACCGTGACATACATTAGGAAAACTACTATGAAATTCCAAATTGTGTGTAATAGCATAGCATTAGTGTCTTCTCTATACGAAGTGGAAATGCACGGAGAATCTTTTTTTTCCTAATAGAAGTCCATTACCAGTCAATATCTTGTTGCCTGGATTTCCAAAAAAAAAGGAATAGCTAAGAAACGACTAATCATCAGCTTTGAGTATGCAAATGATATTTTATGAAACATGTAAAATGACTTTAGGCTGCCCATTCAATTGGAAAACCACATCCAGTGTATGGACATAGAAATGAGTTTGCATCAGAAGGAAAAAGAATGAGCAGAGCAACCTCTTATCATCAAAAGGAAGACAAGATGCAAAGCACCAAACTTTCGTAATGACCATGAAGGATCGATGGCCTAGAAAATGAGCCGGAGCGTTCACTGGAAGATCACCATGCAACTTTATATGAACACACATGTGAAGCACTCAACAGTATTCATGTAATAGATTTATAGAAGCACTGAGGACCCTACAGGCTATAGAAAGGAAACAATCCAGTGTTGTTTGAGACTCTTCATT